CTTACACCTTAGTACAAAGTGTGTAGGTGTGTACCCGGCCTGATTCACTAAAGGTTTGTTTATGGACACTTATAAATGTTTCAACAGCATTGATGGGTGACTCAGATCTCCGGGTCCGAGGTCTTGTAGAAATTTATGGTGTTCCTGGAATACCTTCTACACACTTTTAATCGTGTGTCGTGTGTCCTGCTATATAGGAGGTATCAATTCCTGTCAAAGCGGACAAAGTTCACAAGACAGTTGGTAATCCTGAATGAAAATTGTCAAATACAGTTCTCACTGGGAGGAACATCTCCAATGGCCCTAGGCATCACCAATTGCATGAGACTGATCTTGTGCACATATGCTGTCGACGGAAAGCAAAACATCAGAGTCATGCGTGAAGATGACCACTATGTCAGTTCCACAATGAACAACACGAAGGATAATCCTGTTGTCTGCTTCATGAGTTACCTCTAAGAGTATAAAATCCAGATGTTGACTGCATTTTACTTCACATTTACTCTCAAATTTTCAACAACTACAACAGTGTTGGTGTCAGGTCATGTGATAAAAACCTCGCCTTACTGTCTGGCAATACACTGCAATTTCCCTGATTAGCTAACACACACAGTCACGTCCTTCAATCTCACGTTGTTGAGGGAAAATTTAACTTGTTCCCTTGGTCCTAGTACCCGTCCTGACGTATTATTTAAAACAATAAATTCCTCTGGGGTTTCTAGAATCGATCTTTCGAGAAACATAGAGCAATCTATTAGTAGTCCTCAGTTGTATTGAAGTCTCTGCACCTGGCTTTAACTGTCTGTACCTGTAGCCGTATCTACACCTGTATTTTTAACTGTATATCTACCTGCATCTGAAATCCCGGCCGAGTTTCCTAGGATCTGAAACCTCAGCCGAATCTCCTAGGAACTGAAACCTCGACCGAATCTCCTAGGAACTGAAACCTCGGCCGAGTCTCCTAGGATCTGAAACCTCGGTCGAGTCTCCTAGGAACTGAAACCTAGACCGAATTTCCTAGGATCTGAAACCTCGGTTGTACAGGTCTTGGCATGAAGCCTCACCCAAGCCAAGATCCTCCTGGTTGAAGCTTGAAGCCTAGGCCGAACAAGTCGTCAAGCTCTCCCTCCCTCAGCGCTGTCAAATCTTCCCAACAAAACCGAAACACTTTGTTAGTGGCACACGACAACATCTTCTACACACCAAGACAACTCTCGCTTCATTAAGTTCATCAAGAATAAATAAAAGAGCCTTCATCTCCCAGGCGGCCGTGAGGGGTGTCACGCCAACAACTTCACGGTAAAAATGTATTTCCAAGAAGGTTGTCCAAAACGAGTTAAATATAGCGACGATATTTCAGGTATAATAACAAACCGTAACATAACAGGTTGGGTTTTATTTATCGTTTACAATTATTGTTTACATTTACACAAGTACCATCACTGGCATATCAAAATAATACAATGGCATATAACATTGCAGGTGTCATTTTAACGTTTTCAATTATTATTATTATTATTTCGTCCAATTATACTGGACTATACTTGATGCCCTTAATAAAATATGTTATTACAATATGGACTCGCATATCAGAGCAAGTAAACAAGAGACCAGCTTTAACACGTAAATTACAAGTTTGTTTGTGTAGTATAATACATAATTTGTGTACTGTATACGCTTTTCATTATGGAAATATAAATACTGTAGAGTTACGCCAACTCGCTCCAAAGTGACAAGTCAGAGGTTGGACTGAGCCGCCCACGATGACCAAAGTTTCGAATCCATTTGGCCATCAATTATATCAATCAAATGGGCGGCAGGAGGAGAGTAACAGCCGTCATACAGTGTTGGTTCCTTCCTGGGGGTGACACCAGGAGGCGGACCACAAATATATACCCCATACTAACAACTCACTTGGGCTCACCTGAAGAATCTCCACCCTAGTTTATTTCACCTACAGATTAACCACCCTAACGCTAACCTAGCCTAAAGCTAACCTAGCCTAAAGCTAACCTAGCCTAAAGCTAACCAAGCCTAACGCTAACCTAACCTAACCTCAAGTGCCGTGACCAATGTCTTCTTTCCTACATGACTCTCAGAGGTAAGGCGGAGGTCACACTTGAACGCCCTTTGTGTTGTCTTCTGAGCTAATGTAACAAATGTCTCGGGTATTAAGAGTTGGGGAAGATTACTTATTTTTAATCAACTTTTAAAATACTTTTAACCAAGTTTTGTAACCCGATTTAATTATATTAGAGAGAGCGAGAGAGTCCCCCACCCCATATGGAATGTTTCCCACTCCAGTAGCGTCTGGCAACTTACTCCCTTTCCTCTCGTCAAAATCAAACCTACAAAAAATATATATAAAAGAATATAAACAATGCACTGCTACAAATTGTTATTAGGTGTTAGCAAACTGTTGTTGTTTTATAAGGCCATGTCACTATAGATACGTAATTAAATAATATTGTCCCAACTCCCTCAATCTATGCCATCAAGACCGTGGCACAATCACTATCAATCACCATAATCAGGTTTTTAAATTAAACTCATTAACTGACAAGTCCTTGAAGGAGCAACCAACCATTTATTATTCATCCCCATATATTCAATCGACTTACCAAGCGACAAAAAAGAAAAAAAAAGAGTTACATTAAAACTCTCACTCCCTCCCTGGCCGAAACTATTGCGCCAGAGCCTCAAGTTTGGAAACAAAATCCGCGCTTCTCCACCCAGTCGTGAACACGAAAGTTTACCAACAACGCGGTATTTTACGCCAGGTGAGAGAGCACCCATGGCTCCTTGTCGTTAAGGGCTCAGGAGAACCAAATTAAACATCAATGACGATGAATTTTACTCAATCTCGGTGACAACCCAGCTCAACTCACACACACACACACACACACACACACACACACACACACACACACACACACACACACACACACACACACACACACACACACAACGTCTCACTCAATCTCAGTAACACCTCAAGAGCTTCATGTCTCCGCCCCGACTGTCACCCACAATGCCAGGAAGTACAAGAAACCGCAGCTCGTCAAAACAGTAAGCGAGGCGGCAGGCGGGTGGAGGCTATCGCAACACAGGTCTCACCGTCCCCCGACACTTACCCGAGCTGACAGCACAGTGTACACCCACAAAATACTTATTCGGCACCCTTACGGCGTGATACAACATGACACGGGTGCCGAATAATTTTTTAGTGGGTGTACACGTGAATTGTGACCGAGTGCGTTTAACGTGTCACAAGATACGAGATACTTAAAGTAACTTACATTTGACGACTTGTGCATAGTGAGATATTCTGATATAAGAGTTATTGGATACCCAGCACTGACAAATCTACCTATACACTTAAATAGTGAATAACTTAACTTAAGACTCTTTTCCTCATCAGTCTTGGCTTCACAGTCCCCTGCACGACACAATACAGACGGTGGTGACTACAGTGTTACAACACCACGAAGAAATACTTAAAACTGTACACGTATCCACACAAGCGAAGATTTACCAGACAGACGAAAACAATTCTACAGAAAAATAGAGAAAGTGGGAGACATAGGAGACTGGAGTACAATCCAATTACAGGAGATCAGCGACCCGTGTCACTGGCTGTTATCCCAACACTTGTCCTGGCCAAATCCTCTCCACATTAGGCAACGAGAGCCATCGTAACGTTGACGGCCATACACCTCCTGCATAATGAAACTATAAATCCCACTACTAAAAACGATATAAAGGGAATATGAAACGTTGGGGCGCACAGTGACGACTTCACCGAGTGGCCACGCCAGAACGCGTCCATGGAGGGGGCGGCGCCCTCACTCAGCACGACGGAAGGCGTGAGACAATGCTTTGGTTTAACGTCGCGAGACACGCAGACAGAAATTATAATTAGGCTTCTCGCCTTTAATTCGATTAAACGCTTCCGGGTATAAGACTTAAAAAATTAAATCTAGAACAAAAAGTTTAGATTTTTTGTGACTAATGTTTATTTTAGTGACTTACAGACACAGACGTCCATGATAAACTTCACAGATGTAAACATGTTGATAATGTAATGTACAGTTACATCGGATGATGATGAAAACCTCAAGCACTCTATCTCGTCTACAGTTACTTTTGTCGTGATACAAGTAAATATAATATCATTTAGGTACATGAAGTATTGAATAACAAAGTCTGCCATCAAATAACCTTCAACATGACAGAAATATTCCAATCAAGAACAGCTTCCCCTATAGAACAAACCAACATGTCTCCCTCGTATCTACAACTACCCAACATTCACCATGCAGCCATAAAAATATAAAACTCCACATCAACTTCCCCCAACTTGTCGACGAGATTAAAAACAGCAAAGTCAGGCAGCCACTTCCGTCGACCATCATGTTTCCGCGGGTAGGTAAAACTCTCGCTCAGATGCCTACAACTCCCACTGAGCTCTCGTGTTCTCAGCCAGCCAGCACATTTACGCCAATTATGATCCAATATAGGCGTTCCTTTACGTCTCCGTGCGAGCTTTACAGGCGCGTTTTTACTCGCGTTTACTGTCACCGAGACTACAAGCTCACGGTGGGTAAGTCGCCGCTAGTCGGAGTTACAGTCACGCATAAATTCTGAGGAACGTTTATATTTGTGTGAGAGAGAGAGAGAGAGAGAGAGAGAGAGAGAGAGAGAGAGAGAGAGAGAGAGAGAGAGAGAGAGAGAGGTTGTGTCTCCATTACTCCGCCACAGTAGAAAGTTTTGGGTAGCTCTGCGTGTTTTCGGGTTCCTCTTCGTCACATGTACCGTGCTCTGTTGTGCCTGTTCGCTGCGTGTGTGTGTGTGTGTGTGAGCTTTCTTTTTCACGGGAGCCCATCACCTAGCGACCCATGCACGCTATAAATATATTTCCCTCTCAGTGATCACATTCGCAGTTCTGTTTATGTCGACAAACACGTTCTTCTCTCTACACTGATACAACCACATTAATACTTACATTAATTCGTCCCGTTGCCAGACTCACTATCTTTGGCAGATCATGAACCGCTCACCTGGAATCCAGAAAAAAAAGTCAGGAAAAAAAACAGAAAAAAGTAATGGAGCCTCACCTAACCTTATTAAACCACGCCATGCCTCACCATGGTCAGTGAAACAGATAATATAATATAATTTATGTATAGGTAGTAGTAATTGAATAACAATGTCTGCCTTCAAATAACCTTCAACGTTAGAGATATACTCCATTTAATAACAGATTCCCCAATAAAACAAACAAACACGTCTCCCTCATATCTACAACTACCAAACATTCACCAACAGCCATAAAAAAAAAATACAACCTTTATATGACTTATTTTCCTGTGACTTTACTCCCCGTTCACCTTCACCTGCTCCTTTAATTATGCAGGAAATGTAAATGGATCACACATGGACACTTTCATTTCAATATATTAAATAAGAAACATATGTCAAGATAAAGTACAAGAATAGTGATATAAGAGTAATAAAAATACATAAACATTACTGAATCAATGTACAGCATCCTATCTCGTACACACACACACACACACACACACACACACACACACACACACACAAACACAGCAGGAAGAGCAACACCAGATTCATGACTACTAACAGAGACACGGTGAGGCCATAGACGATATAGAACTGGACACTAAGCACAGCCTTTCATATCTCACTTAAAACAGAAGTTACAGGATAAACAGACAGACAGACAGACAGACAGAGAGACAGACAGACAGAGAGGATGGGTGATCACTATACCCCGCTAGCATATGCCTGGACTGAGGAGGAGGAGGATTAAACACAACAAGCGCACAACTCAGTGTTTACGAGGAGAATTCAGAGACATTATTTGTACCGCACTCACGTTACCACACAAAAGAACACAGGTCGTAAACAACTAATTAAGGACACAATCTCTCTCTCTCTCTCTCTCTCTAAAATGTAAACAAGTAAAGACAACAATAAAACGAAGAAAAACCGAATAAACTAAACATCAAGCGGTAAACACACACACACACACACACACACACACACACACACACACACACACACACACACTGCAATAATCACATCAAACACAATCATCCTTGACTCACACGGCAGCGGTCATCCTCACGAGGAATTACAATGGGAATACAGTAAACCCTCTAAATCCCGGACTTCTCGGAACTGTAATGGATGCAGTAAACACTCTCAATAACGGACTTAATAAATGGATACAGTAAACCCTCTCAATAACGGAATTCTTAATAAAGTAATAGATACAGTAAACTCTCAATACCGGACTTCTCAATACCGGATATTCCCAATAACAGAATCCTCCTAATAATGGACAGGGCTTGTAAAAATTAGTCTGGTATTGAGAGCGTTTACTGTATCCATTACTTTATTAAGAATTCCGTTATTGAGAGCGTTTACTGTATCTATTACTTTATTAAGAAATCCGTTATTGAGAGGACTTACTGACTGGAAGAGACAGTGAACATCTTTAACACTGCCTCGATGTGTTTCCGAAGAATGACAATAAAAATATCAACAACAACAAAAAAAAAAAAAAATCAACAAAAAAATCAACAACAAAAAATCAACAACAAAAAATCAACAACAAAAATATCAACAGTACTCACACCAGCCGCTCTCTTCCCCACCTTGACTTCTGAACCAATTTTCTACACATAAACAATACAGACGTTATAATGTATGATTTAATTAAGGTCTCATGGCACGTAAAAGTTAAAATACACCCATTTGGTTATTAACAATTAAAAGTTAAAAGACCTGAGATATACTGTACCTGGAATTTAATGTTAATACGTTACTATTATATACCAGGTGCAAGTCTGAAATATGAGGAAAGTATAGCCACTTATCCTACAGGTAGATTAACAAACTTTCTACGGTGAAATTAATTTATCAGAAAGTTTTAATTCTGGATGACGAATCTCAAAAGCCTCGGCGTTTACACTCACAACAAAACACTCGTACGTCACCACCCATAATGCCCCGCGCCGCCATCTTGGTTGTCCTGAGGTGAATCATTTCGATCAGTTCTCCACATTTCCTAACCAAACCAAACCAAACCTAACCTAACCTAACCTAACCTAACCTAACCTAACCTAACCTAACCTAACCTAACCTAACCTAACATAACATAACCTAATCTAAATGAAAATAAATTTGAATATACGAACTTTTTAGAGGAATTACTTTGCCGGAACTAGAGATTCACTCGACTGGGTCTGGAGCCAGCCACTGCGGCCACCTGGCAACACTCCAACAGCTGGCTGGTATGGTGGAGGAGTAGCCTGAGCGATAGAAGAAGCAGCATAGAAATTGGAGGATGAGGAGAGAGAGAGCGAGGACGAGGAGGATAAAAGGGAGGAGTGAGAGGAGACAGAGAGAAAAAGGAAGAGAAAGGAGAAAGAGGAAAAGGATTAGAAAACAGAAAAATACAAATTAAAGGACGGGAGGAGGAGGAGGAGCAAGAGGAGTGGTGTGGCAAGGAGGAAGACGAACAAGAGAAAGAAGAAGAAGAGGAGGATAAAGAAAAAGAGGACTTGAAATTCACTCCAGCAACACAACAACACTGTATTTCCTCCACATACACACCACCATACTAACACAAGATACAACTCAAGAACACCAATCACGGTCCACAGTGATGCCATAACCTCGTGAGTGTAAATATTGCGGCAGTTAATCCTTTATTTACATTTATTTACATTAATATCGCTTTGGAAACTCTGATTGTATTTACGATTCATTTACAATATTTTTTTTTCTCATATGAGCGAAGTATCACGTGTCATACATTGTAACTTCAAACATCTGTCCTTGAGGCACCTTCAAATACCTGTCCTCGTGGTACCTTCAAATACCTGTCCTCGTAGTACCTTCAAACACCTGTCCTCGTGGTACCTTCAAACACCTGCCCTTGTGGTACCTTCAAACACCTGTCCTCGTGACCCTCTAAAAAATTTATCTTCGTGGCACCCTCAAACACCTGGTCTCGTAGCACACCCAAACACCTGTCCTCTTGGCAGTCTCAAACACCTGTCGTGGCTGCATCAGAGGGCCAGTAACGACGCCACCTTGCCCTCCACGGCCACTCAGCGAGGCCGTCTATTCAGCAGACCATAAAAGGCGTTTATAGTACCGCCTTTCACACGTGTTTGCCCTCCTTCAGGATAACATCTACTTTACCACGCTCCTCCCTCCTACTTGTTACCGCCGCCTTCCTCTGTCACCCCTTTCTCCTTCTCCCCTCTTCCTCCTTCTATCTTCTTTTCTCTCCTTCACTCTACTTCTTCTATTTGCTTCTTCTCTGTTTTTTGTATCTTCTCCTTTCTCTCTCTCCTCCTTCTTCTTTCCTTTTTCTTCCTCTCTCTCATTCTTTCTCCTCCTTCGTCTTCTCTCTTTCTCCCCCTCCCTCTGCCCTCTCCTTCCTCGATCGTGTTTCTTAATCTCCTCCCGTTTCACCTCTTCTTCTTCATTGACAATTACTTTAGTTTGGTTTATTTTGTCTCCCTTCTCTTTCTCCACCTGTCTCTATCCTTCTTTCCTTTCCATCCTCAACATCTACTTTATCGAGCCTTACTATTGTCTCTCCTCTTTCTTCTCGTCTCTCCATCTTCTTCGACTTTTTTTTAATTCCTCTGAGTCACCTTTCATCTGTATTTTCTTCTTTCCTAATTATCATTTACTGGGTCTTCCTTTTCTTTGCCACCATTCATTTCCTTTCTCAGTCGTCCCTTTCACCTCTCTCAATCTTTTCATATTTTTTCTTTCCCTTTCTTGTCCTTTCTTAACTTCCTTTCATTCCCAGCTTCTAAGGAGACTTATGATATATTTTTCATTCCTCTCTCTCTCTCTCTCTCTCCTGACCTTATAACTTTAACCTTCGTTTTTTATTCATGTACGTCATCACACACACACCATTTCCTGCCCACTGACAGATAAGTGTCTACAGTAACACATAATACCCTCAAAAAACCAAACATTTCCCGGGACAAGTGAACAACATTTAGATCAAGAAACATAAAAAAAACGAACAAATCCAATTCATAAAGCTACATAAACATTTCGTAGCGACATAACACCGATTCCGATTACATAAAGTCAAAACATTTTCACTCGGGTTGCCAATGCTTTCAACTTATAAAGACTGGCAGGGTTTCCATTCTACATATATATTCATAGGTGTATAAATGAATGTACAATTGTCGAATACATGAATACCCACACAAATGCAGGTAAATGGTTGGCTGTCATCCTCACCAATTTGTCACTGCACCGCTACTGAGCCAGGGAGAAAAATATTTCCCACTCACGAAACATAGAACAGGTGTTTTAGTTATGACGGAGGTGTGTAGAGTCGTCAGGTAGGTAAGAAGGTGAAGAGAGAGAGAGAGAGAGAGAGAGAGAGAGAGAGAGAGAGAGAGAGAGAGAGAGAGAGTGAAGCAGTATGAGGGTAGGCAGGTATAGGGGTGATTAACGCAACACTACTCCTGACACTACCACCATCACCAGCACACACCTGTCACAGCCACCATCATACACCTGTCACAACTACCACTACCAGCACACACCTGTCACAACTACCACTACCAGCACACACCTGTCACAATTACCACCACCATCACACACCTGTCACAATTACCACCACCATCACCCTAACACCCTAACACCTGTCACAACTACCACCACCACCATCACACACCTGTAATTAAGAGACACACTACAATATTGGACAGAATAACTAAAATAAAAACTACCACTATCCTCCATTCTGACGGTGGCATAAAAACCAAAATATGAAATCACCAATAACAAAAACAATAACTACATTAATAACAGTAAAATATACAGAAAAGTAAACTCAGGGTAAATTTACAGACAGTGGCTAAACTCGCATCATATATATCTAACCCTTTCTTTCAACACAGGTAAAAATGATAGAGGTGTTTATATAAATACTTGTAAGTTCGTCTTTTATACTCTCTCTCTCTCTCTCTCTCGGTGT